GTCAGGTCAACTTGGGCTATTGTGTTTCTTAGGTAAAGCTTTTAGATAAAAACCTGAGGTGAGACCCAGCTCCCAGCCCAGAGGCAGTTTGCCCAGATTATATTACACAAAGGCAGAATTCAGGTAGGCCTTCCAACAAGGCCATATTGTATCATTGTCGCTTTGTTAGGAGGCCTGTTAATGGTTTACACATGTCCTGTCCTCCAATTTAAGTACATACTTCACATTTGGCAGGAGCAACCCGAGGACTCCTTGACCATCTGCGCAGACCGACCTCATTTAAGGGAGGCTTTGCACCCCTAAAACCTGGGGTGCAAAGCCTCCTTTCCCCTCCCTGTCACTCTCCTCAGTCAACCACTGTCTGCCCCCTCCTGCTGGAGCCACTGCTGGCTTCGCATGTGACTCCAAAGCCCTCAGGGCCCTGGGGCTCGGGTCCAGCCAGCATCACGAGGCCTCTGAGAGGCGGGGCAGTGGGCACCTCAGGCGTGACAGGACAGAGCAGCACCCGCTCCCGAAGGAAGTAACTGCTTTAGTGCCTGTTGGGTGTGAGTTTCTTCCTCTCTGAGAGCTGGGCTGGATTGCCCTGTGTTCTCTACAGATCAGTCAATAGAGCGATCTGATAATCAAACAACATGGTGTCTGCTTCCCCAAGGAGGATGCAGCAACGCACCTTCCTACACGGAGGGAGGAGACATTCTCTCGCCTCTTTGCAGCGTCGTGAAACTCCAGTAAGGCTTATACTAATAGAACACAAGCCAGGATTCCCTGCCGTGTGCCTCGCCCTTTTCAGAATTATTCCTCTTAATCCTCACGAGGACCCTAGGAGATAGGCACTGCCATTGACACCATTTATGCCGATGCGGAAGCTTCAGGAACAGAGAGATCAAGAAACAAGGCCAAGGTCATATCCTAATAAGGATCGGCTTCAGACCTAGCCATTCTTCTCCTTGGCCCAGCATAGTCCTGTTCGGGACACACTGACAAGGGCCTGGAGGGGAAGGGGACGAAGAGAGGTGTGAATTGGGGGTGAGGGGCCATTTCTCTGATTATGTCCATAACGTCAGGATGATGTAATACCTCATCACAGGCTCCGTCCCCATGAGGCTAGACAGCTGGGCAAGTTCTGCCAAAGGTAGGTGTGAACACTGATCTTTGCAAACAGCCCTTTAATATTGAGGAAAGCCTTTTCTTTATCATAATCCTTCCCCCCACAAACACACCTAAAGTGGATATGAAAAGAGAGTGAATACCTTGTGTCAATTTTAAGGAGGATCCCAGACCCTCTCTTTTTGGCACCACGCTGGCCTTGTTCTCTCAAAAGTCAGTACCATCAAAAGCATCTTCCTGGTTGTGAGTGTGAGGAGATAGGGGCCTAATGAAGGCTGGTCAGTTATTATTTGCACTGGGCCCCCTGGTGGACTCCCAAGTGCCGTTCCTGTAACCCTTTATCTCCTTGGAATTGTATCCACTCTTCGTAGCAATGACTGCCACCATTAATAGTCAGCCAAGTGTTTATCGAATCTGTTCCTTGGATGAAATAATGCGTTTGCAGCAACATGGGTACAACTAGAGATGATCATACTAAGTGAAGTAAGTCAGAGAAAGGCAAACACCATATGACATCACTTACGTGTGGAATCTAAAATATGGTACAAATGAACCTATCTACGAAACAGAAACAGACTCACGGACATAGAGAACAGACTTGTGGTTGCCAAGGGGGAGGCAGGGAGGGAGAAGGATGGACTGGGAGTTTGGGGTTGGTAGATGCAAACTATTACATTTAGAATGGATAAACAACAAGGTCCTACTGTACAGCACAGGGAACTATAGTCAATATCGATGATAAATCATAATGGAAAAGAATATATACGTGTATAACTGAGTCACGGCTGTACAGCAAAGATTGCCACAGCATTGTAAATCAACTCTACTTCAACAAAAAAATAAATAAAATTAAAATAATCTGTTTCTTGGGTCAGAACTAGAGCAGCTACCTATGTCCAGAGGAACCTACACTGTGTGAGTGCTGGAGGGGTCGGAGAGTTTCCCGTTCCTAAGTACAATACTTCATCATTCCTGAGGAGCTTGATGGCTCCCAGCATCTCACCACTAGATTCCATGCTTGGGTTAAACATTTTCCCCTCCAGGCCTTTGTCTCCATTAAGACTGAGTTGGGTTACATGGAACAGAGACCCAACTTGAGCATTTGAACCAAGTTGCTTGTTTTTCTCTTATAGCAAGGAGTCGGGAGATAGCTAGTGCAGGATGATGCCCCAGCTGGAGGAAACCACCCAGGATTCGAGCTCTTTTGCTCAAGCACCTTCTGGGTGTGGCTTATGTCTTCACACTTGTAAGATGGCAGCTGCTTCTCTGTTTCGCATCACACCCTCAGTCTAGGTGAGAAGAGGAGAAAGAACAAAAGGAACAATGCTCAGTGCCAGCTAAGTCTGTCCGCTTTTATTAGACAAGCAATCTTCTTCTGAAACCTCCACCCAGCAAACTTCCTATCCTGTCTCATATCCACCTCTAGCTGAGTCGTAGTTTGAGGGGCTCCATATTTTCAACTGGGCACCTTGCTTCGTTGGACAAAGCTGGATATTCTCTTAGGAAGGAGAAAGGGGAGGTTGGCTCTGAAGTAAGGAATTAGCAATGTCTGCCACAGCATGTCTTGAATGGCGTTTTGAACAGGAACATGTTTTGAAAAATTAGCATGTTGTGTCATTAATACTGTCATAAAAATTGGGGCGCGGTATACAGATATGGTTTTCCTCAACTAAAGGAACCAAAGGCAACATAGGGACACTGGGCTCTTTGTAGAGCGGGTGTTATTGAAAGAAGAAGGTCAGGGATAGAGGACTAAAACTTTCTCCTCTTCGCAAACCTCCTTAGGGCTGGCCTTGCTTCTGAAACGTGGTAATGCTTCCTCTCGTCCAGAGTTTCTGAACCTTGGCACTGTTTCCGTCTTGGACTGGGTCATTCTTGGGTGCAAGGGCTACTCTGTGTATTGTAGGATGTTTATCCTGGACTTGGCCCACTAGATGCCAGTAACACTGTCCCCTACTCCCAGTTGTGATAACCAAAACTCTTTCCAGACATTGCCAAATTGCCCCTGGTTAAGAATCACTGCTGGAGTCTATTCCACGCCACAGAAACTTGCTGACAGAACTCATCATTTTCCTGGTTTTGAAATGAGAAGTGTGAAATTGACCGGCTCCCCAGCAGTGGACCCTGGCCAAGTAGGGCAGCAGCAGGAGTGCCTCCCGGCAAGGTTTGTCCTGCACATCTGCACAGCAGCTGGACTGGGCTTCTATTGGCTCGGCCAGGATGGCACCTGCAGGGCAGCCTCCCCAGCCCCTTGTATTCACAGTCCAGCACCCCACGGGCAGAACTTGTGGTAGACAGAGCAGGCTGGCACCAAAGTGGGGCTGGCAGATTTAGCAAATTAAAAATACAGGGTGCCCAATTAAATTGAATTTCAGATAAACACAAATAATTTTTTGGTATAAGTATGTTCCATGCAATCCCAAGTGGAAGCAATGTTCCCCTTGTATCTGGGTGCCATAGAGAGTGCCCCTGAACAAGGGGCAGGATGGTGTTACCAGAAAGAAAAACCCAGGTCAGCAGCAGGCTCTCTAGGGCCCGACTGCCGGCAATGGAAAGGAAGCATTGAAGTTCCACCTGAAAACACTCAGGAAAGTGTTTCCAAGAGAGTGTCTCCAGATGATCAGGCTCCTTGAGACACTGCAGAGTACAAGCGACTGTGACGCCCCATGCACACCAGGGGGCTGCTATAGAGCCACAGTACACACCAGCAGGTTGAAGTCTGAAGAAATCCTACCTTAAGGAAGCCTGTTTGACTTTGCCTAAACCAGGCTTCCCCAGCATTCTCTGAGAGTTTTTCTTGCCTAGTAACTCTTAGCAGAATATACTCGGGCATTTAATGTCAATGCAGGTAACCCACAGAGTAGCAGACATTCGACAAATACTTATTATGCGTAGGTATTGTGCTAGGCCACGTGCCTGGGATATAGAAGTTTGTCTTTCTTCTGTAGTTCTTAAATCAGTTGTAAATATTTAATTAACTATAATTATTTGTTTAGTGTCTAACTCCCCCAGTGAAAATTCCAGGAGATCAGGGACGATGCCCCTCTTACTATCCTATAGCCATCCACTAACAGTTCCTGGCCCACTGGAGATGCTCAACAAATATTAGTTGAATAAATAGAGAAATATACAGTCTTTGTCCTTTGAGAAATCCCCGCCTAATATAATGGTTCTCATGGAACTGAAGAGCAAAATCATGGAAGTTTTGAAAAATACAGGTGTCTGGTCCATACCACGGGAAAGACCAGAACAAGACTGGGAGACAGTGCTTTATAGACAAAGCTGAGGGTTGAGACAGTGCCCCAGACTCCTCCGGACACACACACCCACAAATCACCCTTTGGATTAGGTTCCTTGGTTGAGTTCGCTACTTTGTCTATCAAGACCAGCAAGTCTGGGCCTAGGCTGGGCCCCTAAGAGGCCTCAGGAGAAAAGCTATGTGCTTACCAGAGGGCAACAAACTTTTCAAGAGACAAGGAGAGCGCTTATTTAGGACAAAAAGCTAAACTCCTAGAATATGTTGGTATAATAGATATGGAGTAGGTGACATTTTCAGAAGGCATTTAACTTCCTTTTGGGAACCATAGCCTGGGCCCCAACCTTAATTCAGCTCTAACGGTTCTCTTCCTCCCTAGAGCTCCTTGACTCTCATAGTTTCAGTTCCTGTTTTTTTTCTGAGACAGAACAAATGCCTGTTCCAGCCCCAGATAGGTTTGTGGAC